ATAAAATCAAAAATAATAATAAAATTAACGACCACAAAGCAAATTAACAAAAATTTTTAGATTCCGGTTCTAAAAAGTTCCTTTCTTTTTTTTGCGAAGCATACTTTTTATATAAAATTGGCGTTTTGTAACCGCTGAAGTGTTTTACGGCCGAGCTGCGTCTTGATGTTTTTTCAACAAAACAAAGGACCTACAGTTTATACTAAGCCGCTGCCGAGCGGCTGAAGGTTTTTTATGTGGAGCTCTATTTCATGTCAAAAATAAGCTCGGAGGGGTTGATATTTCCTCCCGAGGGGCGACTGCATTTTGAAAATTTAGCTTAATTTTTTTTATTTGAATTAATTTTCTATAACTTGATGTTGGTACGACACCAGAATTGGACACTCCCGCTCACGGATCAGATGCATTATTATTTGTCGCATTCAACATGGTGTAACTTGCTTGTTAGAAAAATATCCCATATTTTTCAAAGCAAAGTTTCAACATTAACAGACAATATTCTATACTAGGTTTTGTAGCCGTTAGTCGGCATCCATAGCTTTCAAAGTTTGAAATAAGCTCAATTAAACTACACATATTCAAGGTTTATGGAATACATGGCTACGACAACCGTTGACGTCACCGAACCAGCTTCGTCATACATACAGTGAGCGCGATTTGGAAAGAAATTTTTTTTTCATAAATATGTATGTATATAAATATGGGTACAATTTTCTTATGCTTAAAAAACAAGTATTATAAAATTTTTGTTTTTTATACTTACGTACTAACGACGCCGCAGTCACAGATTTGGAGTTTTTTACTAAAAAAAAAAAAAAAAAAAAAATGGCGCAAAATTTAGCAAATCACAAGCTACTGTGCAAGATGCTGTTGGACCCAGATGGCCGAAGATCATCACACAAAGGTACAGCGGTGTCGTTGATACGTAAATACCATTTTTTTAGGCAATTCTTAATTTTTTCAGATATATTATATTGCTAACTATCCGATGAATTCAAGTTTTCAGCCCGAAAAATTGTATTTTTAAATTTATAAAATTGGGCTGTTGAAGAATATGCCATAACAACGCATCTTTGTTTTAATTTTTCAGAAAACGTTAATATAAATAACTCCCACAATTTTTATTTTCAAAATTTTCGTCCACAATAGCCCACTGTACACTTTTTCACCGCTTCGAATTTTTAAACACGATTTTTTCACAAAATAGGGTTTATCCATATCTCAGAGCTTTTTAGCCGACAAAGAAAATTTGTGAAAATCGGTTTCTACATAAAGGGTGATTTTTTAAGAGCTAAAGGAAAGTTTAAAAAAAAACCTTAAAATTCAGAATCGATTTTGAATCGTTAGTACGTCAGTACTATGTTTGAAGATTATTCCATGTAAATGTTGACCTTAACTGCGCCTCAAATAATCCAATCCTGGTATACTATTTTCAACATTACGGGCGGTGTCTCATAAATAACTGCTTCACTGTTGCCCTCTAATGCTTGTCTATAAATAGTCAAAATAGTCTAAAGGCGCTAAATCGCGCGATCTAGGCGCCCAATTGACCGGCCCCTAACGTGAAATAAAATGTTCACCGAAAATTGTAAAAGTTCTTAAATTTTTTTCGAGATAATTTACTGAATTATTAAATTTTTTAATAATATGGAAGAAAGAAGTTTTTTTAGTCGTAATCATAGTCAAGCGGATGATGTTATGTTATGGAGTGCAATCATTTTTTACGACAAAGTCGAACTTATTTTCCTTTGAATGAAATGCGCTACAAATCGTTGCTAGAGTCAGTTTTTCCTACGATTAAAGAACTTTTTTAGACCATTGCCATGGATTTTTCAGCAGAACAATGCTCCTATTCCCAACGCCGGGGTCGTAAAGTCGTTTACAGTGAACCAAAACGTGGAGTTCATGCCTTGGCCGTCTTATTCTCCATACTTTAATATTACTAAAATGCATTTTCTTATTATTTCTAACGATAATTAATTAAAAAAATAATGAAGTGTTATTGAAATAAGTTTTTTTTTTTTTTTTTTTTTTTTTTTTTTTTTTTTTTTTTTTTTATGTCTGTGTCTATTTCATTGACCTACAAAAAAATTAACTGAGTTTTCAAGTGCCCTTAAACAAAAAGAAAATGTTATATACATACATACTTAAAACCAATTTTAATTTTTTTTATTGAGAATTTTAAAAGGTATTTAGGACGTAACATATTTGGAGATTAGTTTTCAAAATATAATATTTTGTGCCGGAAAGCAAAGTTATAGTTTGTTAGAAAAGTAAAAGTGCGTCTAACTTATTGAACGGGAGTGCACATATGTCGATTGAAGTAAATTAATACATTTTGTATCGTAGTGTTGGGTACATATGACAGTGACCGAATTGAGTGACAGCGACAACGTTGGCTCTCTTATTGTCCGTATGGGCGACGACAGTCCAGCTTTGTAAGACTTCGACGTAATACCCGTTGGTGGCGACAGAGGACGGGGAAGAGCTCCACTCCATATCAAATATCAAATGGTGTTTTAAGTTGGTGCGAAACCATTTAAAAATAAAAAGATGACAGTTTTAAGTATCAACCGAAAATTTTTGTCTAAAATAAATTCATTTCATTTCAAAACAAATTTCTATTAATGCTTTGCTCACACTTTTTCTCAACTAGAAACTCGTTTTTTTTTGCACCAGTTCATTTGTTATTCGTTTCAATATAAATATTAATTCCGATTACCGAACACACTGTCAATTTACTAAAACCGACTTCATTCCATTTCGGACAGTTGAAATTATTAAAAATAGTTTTACTAATAATACATTAGTTTTACTAATAATACATTATTTTTATACTAAAACAAACCCAAAGACAGCGTCGAGATAATCAGAAATTAAGAAATCTTAAATACTGATAAAAAAAAAAGTAATATCATAGTCGCCAGTACTCGACCACAATAATCGCTCATTACATTGCATACACACGTACAAATCTATTCGAATATGGCGGCGGAATCTATTATAATTTATATTATAAAATAAATCGTCATCTTAATTATTGTTGTGGCATCATAGAATAGGGAGTAATAAAAGGCAAATTCATTATTTATTCTGACAATTAGCAGTCAGACAAGCAAAGAAATGTAGAGAGAAGGAGAGACAGATTGAGAGAGAGAGAACAACGCTCTTTGCATTGCGATCAAACCGCTAAACCAAATTAAACGGAAGAAATGAAAGACGAAATGGCTAAGTTTTGAACGTGCATAGTATTAGCACAAGATTGGTTGTAATTGATTTATCGATTTGTTAATACATACTGTACATAAGTTAAGTGATACGAAGTTGAGTACATATTTAATCGACTTCAGCGAGTTATTATACAGCTTTTTCCCGGCACCGTGAATTACATTGTTCATCCTCTCAATTACGAATGCGAATTACCCCAATCACAAGGCACGCAATTTGACAGTTTTCAGTTTCGTGGAATCGGACAAAAAAATTCGTTAAAATAGCACATTCAATAATCTTGCTCTGTCTTTAATTTTTGGGCTGGAAAGTATAGTTTCTGTAATAATTTACATAATACATAAATACTATTGGTCTCAAATAAATGTATGTGTTTTAGGGTTTTCTTTAGAGAAGACAACAATTTGGTCGTAATTCGCATGGCAATTGAGAAGGAATTATCCACTTTTGCACGCCTATTCTGTCGAGAAAACAAAATTTACCTTGCTATTAAAATTTACCACTCAGTAAATTTTGTTACTATTTCGTATTCTGAGTTCACTGTCACCCTGTAAATTTTGTTACCACTTTGAGAAAAATAAAAACCTAAATGCGAAGACATATTTGAGGCTTGGAATTGAGTGAGGAAGAAGAAAAAAGTGTAAAAAGGAGTATGCTAAGAAATTGCGAGAAAAAATTACCCTTTTAATTTGGAAAATAGAGTTTTCATATAGCTTTTTTTTTGTCGTTTAGGCTTATTTTCCATATCGATATTTTCTTTTATTTAAACTTATTTATTTTGTGGTGCACCATCTTCCATTTCGATGTGAATATTCTTATTTTTTACTATACCATCTGACAAATGTAATTACGATTGTGAGAGCAAAACACGTAATTATGCTGTCGTGCCACTGCCCTATTACAGCGAATAGACACGCAGCCGATAACGATTTAAATTTTTGTGACCCATCTTTCATTAAAGTTCTAAAAAAAAGCATCGATTATGCACTTCATCAGAGTCGGAAAATATAATTAATGATATTTAAAAATTCTCGTTTTTTATTTAAAAGTGGTTTAATGTGAGATAATTATGTTTTGTATCACGGTACTGATAATAAAACTTTTGTAATTTATGTTTATACACTCGCTTGCTGCCTATACTCTCATTTTTCTCACTGCACTTCAGTCTAGCCGTCAAAAAGAGAAGGAGTGTTTTACGGAGAACGACCGGTGTGCGCTATTTTCTGCAGCACAGATCGGCGTAATGTGAATATGAAACTCGAATGTCACTGTATAAATAATATCATTGTGTTGTTAGTGTGTTTATTAGTAAAATACAAACAGACTCCCTGTATGTAGCTTTAAATGTTAAAAACTTATAACTATAAATACATATATTTGCGCGCGATAAAATTTATAGTTTTGGCAATCGTGTATCTCCCACTACAAAACCACAAATTGAACGAAAAAAATACACAGGCTCCATAATAAAGTCAGCCCACGCAATTTGCTGAACAAGATTAATTTCGCAGCTTTTATGCATATTCAAATGCATACATGATTCACATCACAATTTTTAGTAAATTGGAGCTACAAACGCTGCTCACAGTGCTATTCAAACTGTACGTGGATGTGCGGACGGAGTGATCATACGTTTTCTTGCAGTCTGTAAACTTTAAATATGACCTTGATGCAGAAAACTAGTTGTGTCATTTGATAAAAAAAAGAAACTCATATCTATGCATAAATGTATGTATGTACGTGTCTGAAATATCTGATAGCAGAAAACTTACATTTCCAATTGGGTGCAGCAAAAAAAAATTGCTTGAAGTGAAAGTTTTGGATACGTAGAAAGTGTTTGCTTAACTGGTGGAGCTGTAATTGTTAGAAATTTTTAAGTTAAATAGTTTTTTGCTTGTACGTTTAAATATAAAATGGATATTATCACACGAAAGTTCATGAACACGCCCAAGGGGCCAACATAATGCGTAAGGCAACTCTTACAGAATTCACTACAAATCTTTTTTATCTCTTCTTTCTTCTTTCTTATTCGTTCTTAATTTTTTTATGACTTTTCGCACTTGAAGAATGATCTACCTTTTTCTCTATATATCTTTTCAGTAGAGCACTTACACAATCGCACTATGAGGCTTTGAGCCAGCTGATATTGTAGTATTCTGTGCACAAGAAATTACTTTCAATTAAACAACAAAAGCCGCAATTTTTTTTAAGAAGTTCCAATTAAAATAATAGAAAATACTTCACCAAAAAATAAATCGGACGCACCGCACGAAGGTTGCTAGCGAACTAAATACGACAGATAAATTAAATGGATTTTAAGTGAATCCAACAAGTTTTGTGGGTTCTCAAACAAACACGGGTTGCATTGCTGTCAATAAAATATGTACTAAGTAAAAGCTTTTACTCAACGAGAGCTTTACCAGCATCAAGCTTTTTTAGAAAAGTTGAGGCTGCGTTGCCAGAAAATATTTTTTGTATTTTTTCTAGTAGTAGAATACACGACAATGCGTTGCCAACAGTGCTGCCAGAATTTAGATTTCTAAATTCATGACTTCATATACGTTCTTTGTACGTTCTTTGGCGCAAGTTCGCTATCCGACAGATCGTATCGAAAAAGTTTCAGAGTTGCACCGTTCCGTTTAACGCTAGAATAAGCTTTACGTCGTTTACTCCACTTATAACCATAAAATTAAATTTACTTTTTTAAATTACAATTTATTTTATTTTAAAATGAATGACAAATACTTTTTTATAATGAACTTTGGAAGTGCAAAACTTATTCGATGTATGGAAATAAGCCTTCGTTTTCGGTGTCAATATTTAAAGTTTGAATTTTCGGTACGGACAACTTTCTCAACAAACTGTTGTAAATCTTCTGGCTCTTGTAAGCATTGATGGAATTTAACGGTCTACGCCTGCTAACTAATGGTCGGCCAGCATAAAATATTTGCTGATAAATATAGGAAACACGATGTGAGAACAATTACATACATATATAAAACACAGAAAAGCATATTTATATACATATGTATGTACAATATTTTAACCCATACCTTATTGCCCAATATCATACCATTTCCTCCGGCTGCAACTTTTCGAAACTGCCCTACGGTCACTCTGCGCACTGCACAGGACATACGTCTCATTACTAAATCAAAGATGGGACGAATGAAGAAGAAATAAAAGAACTCTGGAACAGATATTACTCCAAAGCCCACCATCAAACTCATAATGCCTCCAGTTTGTGCTGTTTCAGAAATAGAATGTTGCAGATACAACAACAATTTATAAATAATTTTAACAATTTCCGCGAACTCACACAAATAGTCCGTAAAGCTGGTATATGGCGATCGAACCTTAGATCTAAACAAGTCATCGGCAAAGTAGATCTGCACCAATGCAAAATTTTCAAGAATGTGCTTCCTTGTGAAATTTCTGAAAAACCTATCCCTAAAAACAAAAGAGGTATTACCCAACGGCGTGCGATAAACAGTTGGGAAATATTCCAAATTGAAACAGCCCGGTAAACATTCGCGCTTACATCCGATACGCTCTCTATCATTGACCTTTGCTTCGGCAATGCTTTCACAATTAAAGTCTTTCACATCACAAACACTAACGTTTGGATAGATGAGAGGCATGTGGTATGGTATGCACTGACAGCGACGTAGAAAATATTTCGAATCACATTCCATTTCACAATTACGCCGAGTGTAATAACGAAAATATAGCAATTGCAGTTCATTGTTAAAGAGACACTGCCGACGTTTGGGCGCGATACTGCGAGTCGAAGGTAGAGCTTTTGAACTATCGATGTTGAGACGAAAACGGTGTTGGTAACCTGGCTGGACAGATAGACCGGTTTCTTTAACGTGCGGCGTGTCAATGGGATTGTGAGTGATTACCTGGTGATAAAATAAATAGAAAGCATAGTTTTATTTAATGGTTTGCAAACAGGATACGGTAGACATCTAGAGCATAATGAAAATTCTTTCTAGGAATTAGGGCAGATACCCAGCATTCCCTAAAGACACTAGGTGTCTCTTACGGATTTGTTCGTTTAACGCTGTTTGTTTCGCTCAAACCGCTGTTCCTACTGTCTTTATGGGAAAAATAGAAAATTTTCGGTATTTTGAAACCCTTGTGTGACATTTTGTTTGAGGATAGTGTATATTTAAAAGCTAAAGATACAATTAAATTCTAAAATATTGACTTTCTGATTCAGATATCAGTGATTGAAGGAGTTAAGGAGTAACACCTTTCTTACATAGGACGACGGTAAACCAAGTACAAAAGACTCATGGTTAGACCACTTAATTCCAAACATTGCTTCACAAAATTACCAATGTATGCTGCAAGCACGTGAAGGAATTTTTAAAAAGAGTGTCTCGGACGAAACTCGAAAATGGATGCAATGATAGAAATAAAATGAAGTTACTATCGCAAAATTAGCGGCGTACAGCTTAAACATACGATGCTGGATTCTTTTGGGTACAAGAGGCATCCCAACGCCTACAGTCTTCAGTGTACCCTGGGTTATGTGTCAGTAATAAAAGTTGAAGGAAATTAATAAAATTCAATATAAAAGTGCTGAAATTCTGACAGAGGCGGTTTGAAACATTTTTCGCTCGTCGTGAAGAATAAATTACTTGCGCGGTGCTCAAAAATTTTCTGAGAACATTGCTGCTGTAGCCTAAAGTATTTCAGAATACCCAGGTTTGTACATTCCTGGTCGTTCTTTGGAATGAGGCATTTCACAAAAGTTCAGTTAACACTAGAACTCAAGCCGGCCGATCACAAAACAATGTCGTATCCTTGCCTATTGGGTCTTTGAAATGCATGAAAATGATCCGGAATTCCATCGAACAATCATCTTGAGTGATTTCCACCTCGATGGCTACGGCAATAAGCAAAATTATCGCATTTTGGGTTGGGAAAAGATTTTAGTTGAAAAGCCTCTCTTTCCACAAAGTTTATCATTGGGGGCGGGGTTACTGGATCTTACTTTTTCGAAAACGTGGCTGGAGCAACAGTTACGCTGAATAAATTGCGCTATCGAGAAACGATTAATTATTTTGTATGGCCAGAATCAGATGGTATTTATTCGGACTACGTTTTCTTACAACAAGACTGTGTTATCTCCAGAACAGGAGCACGCAATTAGCCACAGAGGTCTTGTGATTTTACACCTTTCAATTTTTTCCTTTAGGGTCATGTGAAAGATAGGGTTCGTGCCAGCAGACCAACATGGAATTTGTGAATTTATTGAGAGCATACAGCCGCCACTTTGCGATTTGGTGATGGAAAATTTCATAAAAGATACGGTTTTGAAAGAATGCCGAGGCGGCCATTTGGCTCATCCAAAAAATTCCACTTTTCTATGAATATCAAATTAACATCTGTTATTGGAAATTCCGGTAGAAATACTTTATATGGAGTGGAAGCTGTGGTACTTATTCTTGGTTGATGTTTGTAGGGTATATATATTCCATGCAAGTTTGGCAATACACAAAATATTATAACAGTACGCTCCACCATGCAGAAGGTCTTGGGCCCGACCAACATCTAAAATAACAGAAAATTAATTTAAATAACCCTCGGCAAGAAATGCCAGCCCTTCCAATTGCATGCCTGACATGAAATGAAAGCTTCTCATAAAAATCCATCAGTCTTTCAGAGGAGGCGATAGGTCCCATCCCTTGAGCAAACATCAAGGCGCACACCACAAACTAGAAAATCGTATCAGCGGGTGCAAGATAACTAAGGTTATTGGTATTCCCTGCCGAGTGATGATTCCATCGTACTCTGTAGTAGAATATATACTATAAATAAGCGGCTTTGTATAAATCAGTTGCGGCATCAAGTAGAGCTTCGCTAAAGTAATATAAAACATTCCAGGAAAAAGGTCACGTTTATAAAAAATAATTTTGTCAGCTTAAAAAAAGTTTACATGCCCTGTGTACATATCACACACTGGGTATAATAACAATAAATTACCTTTAAGCCTGTACTAAAAGTTGATGAGCAAATATATTCACTGATATTGGCATTAAGAACGAATGTGAATCCCGATATGACACCGGCGCCTAAAATTATGTTATTCAACTATTCAGTACACGATGACAGTTTTGGATACGCAAGTATGCGCTTACGTGCTGCTGTGCGTGGATAAAAGTACAGTGGCAATTTATCAGCATAGCCAGTTTCCAAATTCCAATCGACAGGTATGGTGCCTATAGAAGAAGTGAAATCTCGCACAAATATATATCTAAACAAATGAAATTGATTAGGAAATATGCAAATTGCTTAAGTTGAGGAAAAAAACGCACTTTCCTTTATACAAATACGACGGATGTAATATATTAAATGCACAGCAAATGCCTTCATCCATGAGAACCTCCCGGTAGAAATCCGTACAGCGATCTTCCTTATTACCGAAACGGCAGTAAACAATCATATTGTCACATGACTGTCCATTCTGTAGAAGCAAAAATTAAACTGTTTGAGAAATTCTATTTATGGAATATTAAGCTTCACCACGCGCCAGATGAAATTTGTGAAAGTGTCTTCCCTTGAGGCTGGTTTCAGGTCATCAAATTGACTGAAATCGACATCTTGAAAACATATCTTTTGAATCATGGCATAACCCAGGGAATGACTTGAATGGAAGGAAATTTTTTTTGAGGGATTTATACATTTAAATTCTTCAAATTTGAGTACAGGTAGTGTACGATGTATGTACGTACTTTGGGAAGTGTTCGGTTTGACTACGTATAGCTTGGTTCATGTTGCATATCGTGATTGCCGGAAAAGGAGTAGTGCGTATCTGCGTCGTGTGTGCCTCTAAAGCGATGATAACCGGTGTTGTCTCCCAACGGATGTACACATTTGTCGCAAAATTTATGGCCACAGTTATGACAGTTATAAACCAAATGAGAAAATAAGCTCTGCATTTAGTTGTTAGTTAGAAACTCATATGTAGTATATGAAATTTGTACTTTACCTTTCCCAAAGAGATAATTGTGCATTGCCAACATAAATTAGTCCTTGCAATGTGGTTTGACTCAAAAATTGAGTTACGTAACCACAAACAACTTGAAAGAATACCTTGCATTTAGTATTTTTCTGCCTTTTTTTATTGCTACGAATCGAATTGTTCATATTTAGATTTTCCCTCTGGTTGACTATTGTTGCCGTACTGACCGTTGGACTTAAGGACTCTCAGTGAATGAAAGCAGAAATCAACTCTAATAGCGGCAATTATGCTGGAAGGCGTTACGATAAAGGTTAATTACTCTAAAAGCTTTTGAAAACAGGTACATAAACTAAAGAATTTCAATTAGAGACTAAATGAGTTATTTTAAGGTAAAATGAAGACGAAAAGAAAACCTTACTATCAGGCAATTAATTGAATTTTATATTTTTCTTTCCGTCCGTTTAAGTGAGCAACACCTCATACTCAATACCCCTCACAGGCGTTTAGGCACTCGGTTTTCCTTCCAGCTATTCGATGTACTTATGCTTATATGAGCGAACGTGTGTATATTATATATACTCATGTATGCTTATAAGCATAAGTGTCGAATAGATGCTAGACCCAGGGTGTTTAGGAAGACACTCGAAAGTTTACGTATTTGTTTGCTGAGATGCTTACAAGTACCAGGAATGGTTCCACCATTTTCGAAGAGCCACATCGCTCAATTGATTCCCGCCGGAACAATGGAAAGGTTATGCCAAATCATTTGCTTCTAATTTTTTCCCACGGAGTTCAAACCCTGAACTCCTTTAAGAGCCAAACAGCTCGATAAATAAATTAAAGAGTATTATTTAAATTCATCTTTCCCTTAATCTAAACATCCTCTTCCTACTGCCCTCCAAGCTTAGACACATCTATTAAAAAAACCACCTTACTTACTTACCTTACTGGCGTAGACACCGCTTACGTGATTATACCCGAATTTATAAAGTTGCGCCATTTGTTTCTCCTTTTTTTTTAGCTGTTTGACGACAATTGGAGATACCAAGTAGAGCCTGGTCCTTCTCCACCTGGTCTTTCCAACGGAGGGTCTTCCACCGGTGGGCACTGCATCGAAAACTATCAAGCTGGAGTATTCTTATCCATCCGGACCACCTGACCTGGCCACACTGTTTCTTGCTTCGCTGAACTATATCAATATATATCTCATACAGCTTATCATTCCATTTCGCTGCGGTATTCGCAACCAACTCGTAGAGGACCATAACTCTTACGCAAACTCTTTTCCCCGAAAACTTCTAATGCCAACTCATGAGATGGTGTCATCCTCCATGCTTCCGTACCATATAGCATGACGGGGGTGATGATGGACTTGTAGAGTTTGGTTTTCGTTCGCCGAGAGAGTACTTTACTTTCCAATTGCCTACTCAGTTCAGCTGACGTTGTTGTTGGTGTTAATACTGGTTCAAAGACAACGGATCAACAACGATGACTGTTGGCATGATGACAAGAGACATTTCGTCATGTCCTCGTTTACTAACCAGACTCATATCCTTCGCCTCATTATCCAATTTGGAAAAAACAGAGCTCACGGTGCTGTTGCTGAGGCCAATAATGTCAATATCACCGGCGTACGCCAGCAGCTGTACACTCATATAGAAGATTGTACCTTCTCTGTTCAGCTCTGCTGCTCTTATAATTTTCGTCAGCAACAAATTAAAGAAGTCACAATATAAGGAATAACCTTGTCTGTAACGCCGTTTAGTATAGAACGGCTTGGAGAGGTCCTTCCCGCTTCTAACGGAGATTTTAGTTTTACATTGCGGTATACGCTTTGCGGGGATACTAAATTTAGACATAGCGGCGTATAGACAGTCAATGTTAGGTCCTCGGAACGTTTGCACATCTAAAACACTGGAGACATGTCTTCCGTCTGTTACAACATGATCGATCTGGTTTTGTGTTTTCAATCAAAGACAGCCAAGCAGCTTGATGTATTTTGCTGTGCTGGAATCTTTGGGCCCCGGCGTAGTCGATCAGCCTCACTCCATTAGAACACGTTTCCCTGGCATTAAAATCGCCAAGCACGACTTTCACATCGTGGCGGGGGCACCACTCATCTCTTCCGTCGGGGCGTGGGCGCAAATCAGCGATATATTGAAAAATTTCGCTTTGATGCGGATTGTGGCGAGACGCTCATCCACCAGGGTGAATGGCAGTACTCGATAACAGAGTGTCTCTCCCACCACAAATCCGACATCAAATTTGCGGCCCTTATATGGTCCCTGCAGTAAATGTCACAAGGACCTACTCGCTTTCTTCCTTCTGCCGTCCATCGCACTTCTTGGGCAGCGGTGATGTCAACCTTTATTGTTGCGACCAACGAGGCAGCGGCTCCTTCCCAATTAAGAGATCGGACATTACAGGTGAATGCCTTCAAATCCTAATCTTTAATTCAGTTGTCTTTCGTCAACAGAAAGGCGGTAACTCATCCGAGGCGTTGTAAATTTTTTCCATTGGAGCTGGTTTATACGCGGCAGGTCCCAAACCCAGCGCACAATATCGCTAGGGGAATAAATTTAAAGTTTTTATACATTTTTATTGCGAGCCGCTTGCTTCAAGATCGACGCCTGCTCGCAGCTGCACCTCTGGTGAAGAGACGCTGCAATTAGACTTCAGTGGACCCTCAAACCAAATAAGTCGGAGTGACCCCACTGAAGCTTCCTCTCCCATTAGCCGTGACCCAAGGCTCCACGTGCGTTGCAATTGAACGCAAGAGTAGGAATTCAATGTAGCCTCGCGACTGTAACAGAGTACCCAGTGACACCCCTATTGAAACTAGTAGCTGAATAATAGTCTTAAAAATATTTGTTAAATGTTTGGCGTTTTGGCAAACCTTAAACTTAGTATAAGAAAAGAATACAATACAAATATTGAGATTTAATTTTATTTTGGTTTTAATTTATTGGAGGCATGAAATCTTATTCAAGCATTATATAATATTGAAATTGAATAAGATGATATAACTGGGTTTCCTAATCAAATATCACAATCCAGTAATCCGGTAATCTGAGATTTGGCCTTCAGTTCACTTTTATTTTGAAGAATTATATTATGTTTTAATACTATAACATCATCATTGCTTTGATAATGCTATGCTCTCTGCTACTATCACATTTTTACGAAACAAATTTTGAAAGTTTTGCCATAACATTCGCCCTAGAAACCGCTGACATCGCCGTCCTTCCGATAATCAGCATTTCCATATATTTTACTTCCAACTTTTTCAATGCCACAAACTGCTGATCCACGTTCCCTATAACGCAAAGTCTTATGGCCCTTAGCCTCTAAAGATTTGACTACGCTCTGCAATATCCCGTACTCATATTCGAGTACATTCGGTTCCAGTTGATGATGGAAGCGTGGTGCGTCAATAGCCTGTTTAATATTCTGCTCCAACCAAAGTATACGAACCAAAATGTGCACCAAAACCGATATAATTTTGGTGCCACCAGCTGCACCTGTCACCAAACGCACTGCACCGTTCTGGTCCGAAACTATAATGGGGCTCATGGAAGACATGGGGGAAGCGCCGGGTTTTATACGATTCTTTTGTTGCATATTCGGTAGATCGAAATAATTGTGTAGACCGTCAATGGTGAAGTCCGACATGGCATTATTGAAGAGTACACCAGTGCGTGTGCCGATTTTTCCGCTACCGAAACTAAGAGCAGTAAATGATTGTGATAAATAAAACTCAATAATTTGACATTACAAACATACTAAAAGTTGATGGAACTTGTAGCAGATACCGCGTCTCCGTTCGGTGCTATTACCGATATATGAGCAGTACCATGTTCTACACGCGTGACAAGTGGATCACTAGCGCCATAACTCGTGGCATCGCGGAAGGTACGCTCGGTGTCTATCAAATAAGCCAGATGACGAGCATACGTTGACTTTGTGAGATTTGTTAGTTCCTTTGGAAAATTAAATAAATAAGTAAAACCATTGATATTTACATAGAACTACTATTCGCACCTCTTCGGTGACACCCATATCCAGCTTCCAACGTTCCACAAAACCAAACTTGAGTGCTTCCACAATTTCATGCAAACCGTTTGCATCGATGTCTTTAGCTTTTGCAAACTTCTTACTAAATGTTTCTAAAATTTTCATTACAAAACCAACGATATAACCACTACCGGGTGGTGGGGTGAAGTGTAATGTATTCGCCCCTAATGTTACGTTGGGTGACAACGTGAGGTCCGCCGTCAAATTTCTCATATCCAAATCTCCGATGGGGCTGCCTAAATCGCGCAAATCTTTTGTAATTTTTTCCATCAAAGCACCGTTATAAAAGTCCATAGGTCCATCTCGTGCCAGCGATTCAAAAGTGCGACACAGCACATCAGGTGGACGTATGTGTGCTCCCGTCCTATAAACCTTCCCAGTATTTGGGTCTACGAACATTTTCTTCAGTACCGGATTCTCTTTGAGAAGCTTTTCGTTTAAATACACTGAATCGCGCTGATGCTTAGTGATCATATAACCTTGACGGCATAATGCAATTGTGGGCTCCAACAGTTGACGCCAAGGAAGTTTGCCAAAACGTTGATGAGCCACCGCATAACCGGCGATTTCGGCAGGTACAGCAATGCCGAGAGCGGATTGAAAAATCGTACTCACATTATCCGTCGACATCTGAAAGTGTTGTGGCGCACGCTCTCTACTCAATATGCTGTAACTACGTTGCTCGCTACTGGAATAGATGTTCAGGAGTACTCCGCCGCCGAGGCCCATACTTTGCATAGACAACAAGCCGTTGCAGAAAAGCGTCGCAATTGCAGCATCGACCGCTGTGCCTCTCGATTTTTGTAAAATATCTCTGGAATAAGTGGTTAAAGAATTTAACATATACAGTTATTCATACAAATAAGCGTTCCGATATTATCACCTTCCAATTCTGCTGCACACAATGCTGTCCGCGCAGACCGCTCCATTTTCATACTCGTGTAGTGGCGAAAATGATGGTGGCTGTGGCGTCTCCGGGTTGGGTGGTCGTAGCAATTGGCTATTTGGTAATGAAGAATTTCGCTGCTTGGAAAGTTTATAAAATAAAAATACTACTGCACTCAGTATAATCACACCGCCGTGAATCAAATTCATCACTATAACGTGATTTTGAAGTATATTGTGCAATAGCCAAAAGAGATACCAGTGAACAATGTTTATTTTGTGCCTGATGAATAAGCCAGCAAATGTCAAACCATGCAAAATGTCCTGAAATATAGGACATGCGCATTGGGAAAGGATTTTTTAACCATGCCAAAAAACGATTGCTTCTTTTTGATTTACAGTCGGTGGACATAAAGAAAATGGACTAAAAGAATAACAGGAGAAAAAGCAGACAAATCATCAAAAAAGAAATACTTATAGATGAGGCTTATATGGCATCTTGCCCGCTGAACTATAAGAAGCAGCAGACAACCTCTCCGCCTTATTGTGTAACATTTACTCTGTATAAGTTTCCATGGGACATATTCCCACTGCGTAGATTACGGCAAAAGTAATTGTCATACCGTGGTAGCCGAGTGGTTAGCATTGCGTTAGGAATGCCAGGGTTCAAATCCTGGTAAGACCAAAGACCAACGTCCAAGCAGTTTAGTTGAGTTGAGTTGATGCGGCTGCTGGTCTAACCCCAGCACATTTAGGCCAATAGGCCCATTGTGATACCTCCTGCCTTCACCTTCTCAAACGATCGAACCATTTCGTGTGTCTTATAAAGGCAACGAGATTTCCCAATGTCCACTGACGCCAACTCAGCGAGACAGTCGAAGAAGTGTTTCCCAAGAAACTCGTGTCGCGCGGATGTCAAGGCTGGACAGTGGCAGAGGTAGAGCTCGATGATCTGCTCCTCTTCTTTATCCTTACAGCCGCAGCAGAAATCGTTGGAATGAAAGCTCATCCTAATCCCGTGAAGCCCCATTAAATAGTGTCCAGTTATTGTATCCGCCGCTATGCTAGTGGAGAACCGGACTCGCATCTGTTTGGGATTCTTGTGGAGAAAAGATTATCGAAGCATACACTGGAGGTGGTGTAGTCCAGCTTCTTCGGCACTTTTATAAGTGATAATATTTTTGTATGTCCTATATTGCAATTCTTCCAAGGTTGAGTTGCATTCAAACTTGTTGCGTTGCAGCACGCTTGTAGTTTCCCGACGAACGTCCAAAAGTTATAGAAAATTAATATAAAAAAAATTACGTTTAAATTTTTAATTGCGTTCGCGCGTAGGCAGGGAACGTCAACCGAGTGTATTTCTGACATGAAATAAAGGCTACTCATAAAAATCTATCAGCCGTTCGATGGCGGCTTAGTATAAACAGTAGGTCCCTCCATTTGTTGAATAACATCAAGGCGCAAAACCACAAATTGGAGAAGGAACACGGCCGTAAATCGCTTCATGGGTTATAAAGCGCCAGTTATATATGTATAATCGTCAAACGAAAAGGCGAAAGAATCGGTCATGTTAATCGTGAAGATATTAAGCCAGTTTGGCTTGCATCTTTTCTTTTAAAAATTTTAAAGAAAATGCTTGACATCTGTATACGTAAGAGATACCTCCAAATTGCCTACTGGAGAATGAGCATGCCTACTTTAAGCGTATATCTGTCGACACTGCTCTACACGAGGACTGAGAAGGATCTAACCCTACAACAACTATATATTAGGCATTTTCCTCGGTATCGAGGGAATTTAATAATGTCTTATCCGGGATAGTTACGAATGTACTACCGAAAATGAGACTTGGAACACACTTAGTGCAACTGGTGAAATCCTTCTTAAAAAGCAGAATAATCTTCGCGGACTTAAGAGGCTCATCCACATCCAGATATGCAAACCAGTTATCTCTTCACTCCTCCGCGGATAGCGAACTGATAGCATACGCTGACAATATCACTCTCACAGCGAGTGGAAAAAATCCCCCGAGTTTTAAGTAATCTACTCCAAATTCTCATTTATTTAGTAAGCAATTGAATCCCTTAAACTCCGAAGTGTTACTTATCACCAGAAGGTATAACCAACCTGCTTTTAAGCCGCCCCTACTAAAAGGCATCAAGTTCAGTCTTTCTACCGAGGTCAAATACCAGCCTTTTGTTTTCAGTTTTGACAAAACTTTTCCAACAAAAATCCCAGAGAGGAACGAATGGATAAATGAATGAAAGCAACATTCCAATCGGCATGAGCCAGAGACCTCCAAACCAATGCTATGTCTGAAAATATGACCGCCGCATCATGGTTATTCATTTCTAATGCAGTATCTCAGTCCATCAATATATGTTCTGACAGCCAAACTGTCATTAAATCTCTTCATTGTAATCACACAACCTCAAAAGTGGCAACCTTGGACCGGACGTAGTGACATCTCAGGAAATTGTCTGGCTGTCCTGCGAGTTTACCGCTTCCCCTCCAAAATACTTGCTAAGATCGGCCTTCAGCCGATAGCAGGTGAAACCACATGCATTGTACCCAGGTATATGTAGCCATTGAACGATTTAAAAAGAACTAAGTCTCTACTCCTTCTAAACAAAACCTCCAACACTGTTTATTGGGGACTCATGGTAGAAAGACTAATGTCTTCTGTCAGAGGTGGCAGGAGTCAGGGGAGCACTAACTTTGCCTTGTTCTAGGTCTAGCCTGACATCACTTCCTAGATAACTTCTACTTAGACTGCCTTGCAGATATAATGTCAGCAAACTTGGCTAAAAAATCGCTTCAGCTGTTACAAAGCGACAATTATATAAGTGAGCTGTTGAAAGCTCTGTTTTTCCATCTACCTTATTAATCCGAACGATTTTCTGAGTATCTTCATTTGTTTCCATCAGATATTAAGAGGCCTTCGAACGGTTGATTGTCTTTCGAAGGGTTTGACATTCCCTGCCGAAAGGCGATCGCAATTAGAAAATTTAAATAAATTTTTTATTTAAATTAATTTTCTATAACTTTTAGATGTTCTTCGTACCAGGATTTGAATACGCATCTTTCAAATAGCAGTACCCAATGCTGTCACACCGCTTCCGTGGCCGCCTAGTCATTATGTGCCGATGAGTATATACATAGAGTCGAGAAACGACGAATTGATTTTGTTTCATTTCGGCGCCATGTTATCGAACCGAAATGAAATTTTTGATGTTGACACCGCACAAACTGAGCGTTAACGGTAATTTTTAAATGGCTGCTTACTACGATATCAGCGGAACATTTTAATTTTAATGTTAAATTTTATCTATTAACGATTTAACATTAACGAGCTTTTAATTTCGGGTAGAATTTATTTTAATAATTGCTTTAATGCTAACGTTTCCAAATGTTTCAACCGAATCTATTTTTTTTTTATGGGAAATTTCTCGTTACGATGCACCCCTGTTTTTTATGATTTCCATTCACTGTTCTCCCTATAGTAATCGATAAGAACTACGGCAATACCGATTTTCACACGTCAACGTCTGTTTCGGCCTTTGACCCGCGTTCAGTATTGATAGTTCTCACCTTGTTTTCACCAATCAACCTGTTTGTTATAATATTATATTTCAGTAGCTAATGAGATATGCATGTATGTATATATATTTATAACTCTTAACGAGATAATAAACTCAAGTAGAATTTTGTAGTTGCTAAAGCTTTTCGATATTTTTACTTTATTAAATTTTTGAAAAAATAAACGCATAAGATCAGGTGGTTTACAGCAATACTTATTCAGCATCTAAATAAATACTCATTTTTGGATTGAAACTGTTCACTTTTGATTGAATCTTCAATAGCGCATATAAATTGCATATTTGATGCGATATATTGGTATGTATTATGGTATGTATGCACATGATATGAGTTAAGTCTAAGAATAATACTTATAAAAATACAAACTACACATACAAATTGAATACTACAATTTACATTTGATCTAAAATATGCAAATGCCGTTTGGGATTTATCTGAGTTAGTTTGCTTATTTTTTCTACCGAGAATTTCTGCATTGATCCATAAAGGAGTATGGAAATACTGAAGTATGTACCTTCGTTGGTAATAAATTTTGCAGTTCGTGAATCATTTACACTGGATTAAATCGTATATACAAATATATTTCATTGTTTTTATGTTTAATTAGCAAAAGCATTAAATTCTTCCACCTTTCTTGCCTTCCTCTGTTGTAATAAATAATCTCGTAAATTGTAATTTAAAATATTATGGACTTAGCGCACACGTATACTACAGAGTGATTGAGAATTAACGGTTGTGTAATTAAAAACCAGCTATGCCTCCTCGTTTTCTAAAGTCCGCATTCGCATATATCGCTGTGTCGTTTCGTGCAATCGCACACACCACAGATCCAATATCTTTGTAGGGCTTCAATTCATGTCCTTTCTCTTTTAACAAACTGAGAACCTCCTATAAATATACATATTTATTTTTGTGATTCAATTAATTAATTTAGTTTGTTCTCTATTCTAAAGACTTACTTCATCAAATTGACCAAATTCGTATTGCAACACATTGGGTACGAGTTGATGATGTATACGCGGTGCGTCAATGGCCGATTTAATGTCCTGATCAAACCACAGAAATCGCGCCGTCACCTCGACAATAGCTGAAATTATTTTTGAACCACCTGCAGAACCGATCGCTAGTCGCACGTTACCCTTACGATCGGCCAAAATCATTGGTGACATCGAGGACATGGGTCGTTTGCGTGCATCTATAAAATTGCTTGGTGCCGCTGGTAGACCGAAATTATTGGTGGTACCCTCGACAGAGAAGTCATTCATGCCGCTATTGAACACGATACCGGTGCGTTTACCAGCCTGACTTGCGCCAAAACTACAAAATATAATTTAAAGAATATAAAGTAAATCACTTTTTCACAGATACTCTCAATACTGACTATTCGTTAACGGAGCTGGTCACTGAGACAGCATCACCGTTTGGTGCCAACACGACAGTATGAGAAGTGCCTGCATCGTCTTCTCCCATAAACTGTGCGCCATAATCGAATATCTCTTTGTATACTTTTTTATCGTTGATCTTGTCGCGTATACTCGCGCTGTACTCGGGATTGGTAAGGCGGCTGACAAGCTATTGTTTGCAAGAAAAATATGTGAAAATTAGTTAGGTTTTAAGCATAAAAATTTGTATTCCTTAATTTCAAAATAATCTTGACTTATTAGTTTAAAAAACAACAATGGCAATTTTATGTACCTACCTCACGCACATCGTTAAAACGCAAGTCTCCTAATTCCCATCGTTTTGCGAAAGCGAACTTTAGCGCCTCTGCGATACGATGCAGGGTCTTCGCTTCATTTTTAGCACCGATCAAATCGGTTTTGGTAAAATTAAAACCTTCTAAAATGCTCAGTACATTGGCTACAACAGTGCCGCTGCTAATAGGTGGCACAGCATAGAGTATATCATCGCCCAACTGCATTGTTATTGAGCTTACCATATCGGCGGAGTAAGATTCTAAATCGTATGCAGTCACGGTACTACCGAGGTCCTTGAGATCTTCGACAACCCTATGCGCCAATGTGCCATTGTAAAAGTCAAGTGGTCCATTTTCCGCCAGAAGCTCATAAGTTTCACAAAGCACTTTTTGAGGTTTTATTTTAGTGCCCACTGGATACAATTGCCCTGTGGTGGCATTCACGAAAACGTCACTGCAAAAAGATATGTTTAAATGAGATTTCATGAAAAATACTATATTTGTCTTACTCACGTCAACACAGTGTTATTCTTCATGTGATGCCAACGATAATTCAAGGCATTCCACTGATGATGTGTCAAGTAGAAACCTTCATGACACAATTCAACCGATGGTTCAACAAGTGTCTTCCACGGCAATTTGCCAAAACGTTCGTGAGCGCGATGATAACCCATCAGTTCACCCGGCACAGCTATCGATAGCCCACCATTCAATGATAGTTCCAGTTTTCCATCGAACATCTCTTGGAATGCGGCAAATGGTGCGACCTCTCGTGCATCGATGGAGTAAGCGTGTTGGGTGTCCTTCAAAAATATGTTCATAAGCATGCCTCCACCAATACCCATGCTATGCATGGTGAGTATTCCATTACATAGTAATGTGGCTATGGCGGCATCAACAGCACTTCCCTTCAGATCTAGCATGTGGCTATAGAAAATAAAAGGGAGTGAAAATAGGAAAATAATATATATATTAATTAAAAAAAATGTATTTAAACATGTTGAAGTGCCAGTGTTAACATAAAGAAATGACTTTAGGCGTAAAAGTTAAATTTTTTATTCCGAACCTCTTAAAACAACATGAATTTCTCTGGTAAGCGTGTTCCTATCGTATGAAATATTTTTATTTCGAATAAAAAATTAAGAAAACTAATACGAAATCTGGGCCCTTACTCTGTGGTCCCATTGGAAAACAGTTTGCTAGCTTTCGAATCCGCGTGACCGATTTTTTTTCGAGTAGCCTTCATTCGATGTTCGTGTTCTGTTCTGTTACCCTCAAATTTATTTCATTTCCTTTGGCAAGTTGAAACATACTTCAAGGTCATTCCAATATGAGGACCCTTTGACTTGTAAGATCTATTTGAACTATTAGAACAATTAAATTATCAATTAATGCTCTAGTAGTAATCGCTGTCGGAATTCAATATTGATTTGGTTTTATCTCAATCGAAGATTCCATCACCTATATGACCTTTCGTTAAATCATAATACACGAATTGTCAATCTCAAAACATGCAAAAATAACGCAAATTGATCCATAAACTCGTTTTATTTCAATAGATCGGTCCCAGGCCTACTATCCAGGAAGAAAAGTTCTTCACATATTAACCTTAGTAGAAAGCTTTCATGTTTCAAATACCAAGTTACAATAGACACGATTTTTTCGAATATATCTGTCCCAGGTCCTGCCAGTAAAACCAGTATCTACGATTACCTGTTTAATCTGTGGGTTGATCCGTCAGTCATTCGTAAGAGTGCCGTTTTTCTTAATACATAAAAGACTTTGTCCTGAATGACTGCCGGACCAACCTAAAGCCCTGATTGTAGAGCCCTTAAACTTAGAGTGTGTGTTCTGCGTATAGCGTATGTCCCGATAAGGATTTTACTGGAAGTGGGTTGGCACATGTTGGATATTTTTGAAAAAATCCAATATACCTTTATGTCATTGACTAAACTGACATGTGCAACATGCTTTCTTCTGGGAAGTGGTCATGGGACTAATTTATTCGAAACAAAACACCATTAGGGACCGTCGTCATAACAAATCCTTAGAAAAAGTGGTATCAAGGAGTGGAGGCTCCCTAACCAACACAAAACTATTGAAAAATATACACTTTCAAGTACCGCAGCACGGTTTGTAGATTAAATTTATTGCTGGCCAAAGTGTGATCGCAGCTGTAGGAGTACCTGTATTTCTAGCAGACGATTTCCGTCAGAATTTACCAGTTGAGCTCCTTTATGGCCTTCAGTGAGAAAACTGAGCCGCGCCATAAACGTAAGAGTCCATTTTTCCGGACAACTCTCAGAACTGTTGCTCATGCATAAATAATATTCGCGATTAGCCAAAATAAAGCTTCAATTATAAATGAAATACTTTTATAATAATTCGAAAGGTTCGAATATCAATATGAATCCGTCAACTCAGTGATAAACACCGACGATGCCCACTCATTATCTGTTAGAGTTCCTCAATGCCCTAAAGCCTGCAGGTCTCCCAAAAACAAGACAATGTCAAGGACAATATCAATTTATTCCTAGAATTCCATTATAGTGGGCTACGTAACAACCATAAACAATGATCCAGGTCAAACTCTTAAGGTACCGTGAGTAGACTTCAGAAAAAACTGCTTCTCCTATGACCAGTTGTATGTGGCTAGCTTCAGAGTAAGCTTACAAAGTGGCTTGGTGATTCCAGTGTCTCACAAGGATATATTATGGTAGGTTTAGGACTTCGTTTTCTTAAAAAGATATCAGAATTTTAAATACTATAAAAATGGTGAAAACCTGACAGAGACGGTCCGTAAGCTACAACACAGTAATTGTTGGAAAAAATGGAGCTGTTTGAACAAGTTAGTTATGTGAAGAATAAAACACAAGCACGTCGCTCAAGAACAACTGAGAATATTCCTGCTGTAACGCAAAGTGTTGATGCAAACCGAGGTTAGTCAATTCCTCGTCGTTCTTTGGAATTGAGCATTCCACAAACATTAAGGTTTCTTAAGTTCAGTTGACAAAACAACGTCATGTCTTTGCTGATTGGGTCATTGAAATTCATGAAAATCATCGAAAAATCATTTTGACTGATGAGGTCATTTCCACCCGGGGACTTGGAATGTGTAACAGCTTGGTGCGGTTTAAGGTCCAGCGGAGTCATTGAACCTAACTTTTTCGAAAATAGGGCTGGAGTAGCAGTTACGGTGAATGATTGCGCTATCGAGAGATGATTAATAATTTTTTTATATCCGAAATCAGATGATATTCACCTAGATATCGTACACTTTCAACCAAATGGTTTCACTGGCTACTAAACCATCTCTAAGAGGTGATCGCAATTAGCCTTTGAGATTTGGTGATTTACCAGCTGGCAACGCCTTACTTTAGAGGCAAGTACAAGGTCTGCACCAACATATGGGGGCACTTGGCAGCCATTTAACGATTTGGTGGTGGAAAATTTTATAAAAAGGAAATGGTAAGATATTGAAAAATCTCGTAAAAGTTTCATATAATAATTTATGTTTAAGTTTGATTTTAATATCTTAAAAAACCTACTTAAAACTTTAATAAATGCATTTTCAAATTCCATGCGGTCGTCTGAAAAAAATATGCTGGAAAATGGACTTCATATGGAAACAAATAAAAAAGAAAAAGGAAGAAAGGGAAAAACTCGACTGTCAATGAAAAAGTGATAGGCCCAACAGACGCCTACGCTTTCCATTTAACAATGTAATAAAGAGTACTTTATGGACATATCGCTTTCAGTGGCTCATTAAATGTTTAAAATATACTCTCGATGCTTTACGAAAAAGACACACCTTCAATTTATGTCCTTCAACATTTAAACTTTTACCGAAAGGTTTTTTGAAGCTACTATCAGGTTGCATGACTACACGGCGTCTTACATTTTTTTCAAAATTAATCGAGCACAGCGATGGGGAAGAGAGTGAGAGAAGATTTCTTATCATAATTGCCAATACAAAGTTGAGTGTGCAATTAAGGAAAGCATTGAAATGAACATTAAATAAATCTTCTTCACTTGCTATTTTCATTATTGACTTTCATTGAGCTCGCTCCACACTTACCTGCCAATTTCGCTGCAAACTTCGCGGTCCGAGCAAACTGCGGCCTCTTTGTAAACACCCAATTTCGATTCGAATTTATCCTTTATCAATGGCGGCGTGTCCTTCAGCACCAATGCTTTTCTTGTCGGCAGCGTTTGGCTAATTGCTGTTGTTGTTGCTGTAGCAGTAATAGTGCTGGCTGTTGTTTGCACATTAACGATTGCTTCATGCTCCGACGCCGTTGGGGGCACGCCGGTAGTAGTAACGGTGTAGGCGTTAGTTGGCTGTGTAGCTGACTCACCAAAACCAGCTGTCGTGATGCTAGCAGTCGCTGTATTGGCGGTAGTTGCTATTGTGCTGCCATCACTATCACTTGTTGAGTTCGTCAGCCTTAGCGCGCCATTTTCGCTGCTACTACCACTACTACTACTACTACTACTGGCTTCATCTATTGAGAGAGAAGAATTATAGGTGGAAGGAAGAGTGAAGGATGTTTCATTGTTGATAGTTGTGTTGTTGCTTTGTGCATTTGACGTCTTAGACCAATCTGTGAAGTGAAATGTCATAGTGGGGTTTGGAGTGATGATGGTCGTGGCGTTGATATATTTGTTGATGTTTTCATAGTGTGTGTTCATTATCATATATTATATATTTTGTAACAAACAGAAAGAGTGCATGGGATTGTAAAAGAGAAAAAATATACAATGCAAATTATCAGTAAAAAGTAGGTGTTTATGTGTAAATAAGCATTGGGATTGCACTCATACAATATGCATGTAAGAAGAAGAATAAGAACAAGAAGAAGCCGAGAGAGCGAAATGTGATATCTGTCAACTTTTTTACTTACCGCTAAAGCACAAACTGATAATAACGTAGGTAATGAGTGCTACACCAATAAAGCAGATGAGTACGATTGTCAGCTTTTTCATCCATTTGAGTATGTTCGCGCGCCTATAAGTATGCAATAAACGAGTATTATTTGGTTGTACTAAAAGAATTCTGGTTACATTAGATGCGGGAAAGTTTTATCCTTGCATTTTTGCCACAATTGAACATAAAAAAGTTTTTATAAATCTTTTCTTTGCATTATTAATGCGTTTGCAGTGTTTTCTTAACACCTTAAGGGCCCATATGTTTAATAAAACAGCAGTTATCGCTTGCAGTGTGCAAAAAAATTGTTAATTTTCGGCTCTAACGACGAGACACTAATTTTTTTTTTTTTTTTCATTTGAATATTTTTTTTTTGTTAATTGAGGAGAGCGTATATAAGTAATTTTTAAAAAGGTCTGTCATTTCATATATTTATAGGTTGTAATAAATGTAAACACTTAGCAGTAATAAAAATCTTGAAAACCTAAAGTATTTAAAATTCATTGAATATTTTTAATAAAAATTAAAAAATGCCTCAAAAAACAAAAAAACTTTACTCATCGAAAAGTAAGTTATTTAAAACAAAACAAATTTTCTCCTTACAGAGTAGTTGTGTTGTACACACTTGAAAAAACTGCAGTCTATATATTTACACTGAGACATATTTTAAATACTTACATTTGCTCGCGTCTTGCCTCTTCTGCCGCAGCCGTATCACTGATGAATTCTCCACCAGCTTTCTCTTCATCCTCCAAACTATTTGCAGTTTTCAGTGGAATTTTGTTAAGTGCATCTTCATTGGAGTGTACCATTTTTAAGCCATCAGTTCTGAGGAAATAAATTAATTCTTCCTTAAAGTTGAAATATCGTATGTATACATATGTAAGTGTACAATTCGAATTTATTTCCGTATAAAAACCACACAGAAACACAACACTCTCTACAAGCCGCTAGTCTGAAGCCAACTGAATTTCATGCTGAACGCAATAAGTTTTAAGCTTTTTGAAACATGTACATACATATATTATACTAACACAAACTTACGCAAACGTAGTTTAAGGGAAAATATTCTCTCTTTCTCTAAAATCTAAAGGTTAGGTTAGAGACGCCAACCTTACGAAAAGTACTGTATTCGACTAGTGATGCCATAACATAACACCATAGACATAAGAACGCTACAGGTTTGAAATGACTGTGCCTAATAACTCGCTTGACATATTTACTCGTATTGTAGCTTCTATAGATTTCACTTTTAGTTTTTTTTTTTGCTTATGTAAGTTTTAGAAGATCCTCATTATCATTTTATTGAAAGAAAGTATTCTATTACAAATAAATAAATATGCAATTGAAGCTTTATATAATCAACAGAACTTTCATTGGGACTTAACGTTATTTATTTTATTAAAAAATTTGGAAGCTAAGAAAGTTGTATATGAAAGATAAACCAACGTTTTGCACATATTTGCCTAGGCAAGGATATTCTATGACATTCTTAGCAAATCGAACCATAAATACAATTGTGTCTTTCAGATAGATCGGTCTCGCTATAATAAAATTTCTCAACACATTGACAGAGTCAAAGAGCTATATACGAAGTTTCATGTGAATCAAGCAGTTTAAAAATGAATTCTTTTTCTTCAAATTGATCGGTCCCAGATTCACCTATCTTATCGGGTGCATGTGTCGTACGCCTACGTTCAGTGGTTCAGGCTCTGAGTTGATCTGTCAGTCATTAAGGAATAAGCCTTTTATATATTATATGTATATATTGGGGTTTTGTACCCGCTGAAGTGATTTTCGGCCGAGCTCCTACTTCAATTTGTGATTTTGCGATTGATGCCTTTCCAACAAATGAAGGAAGCTACAGTTTATATCCGAACGGTTGATGGTTCTTTATGTGGAACTTTTTATTTCATGTTTTTTTATTGAAATTAATTTTCCATAACTTTTGGATATGAACCCGTGCCTTCCGAATGTCATTACGCATTGCTAACCACTCGGCTACCGCGACCTGGCAGTATATATGTATATATTTGTTGTTTGAGGATATTTAGTTAATTGGCGCTACGTAACCGCTGAAACACCTCATAACCTCTAAATTATGGAACGATTTGTGGTAAGCGGCTTCATGACTTTTCCACAAATAAAGAGATTTTCGTGCTGCCTTGAACGGAAGATTTATATTTTATGTCAGAATTACGCCCGAAGAGAGGAGCCACCACAATGAAGAATACTATTTTCAGTAATTTTGGTTATGGTTATGGCATGGTATCGGTAATTAAGCCTTAAAAAGCTGTGCTATCTTTTTTTTCTAGAGACACATGTAGTTATCCTTGCTCGTGTTTCGTTTTGTTGATGATGCGAAATACAGGAAATAGGGAGGTTAACTTTGAGAGCGAGCTAGTGGCTTCTTTACCGAGTTTGTTTGTATATATGTATGTATGTATGCATGAAATGCGAGTGAATCGTTGTATGAAGGTGGTGTGGCATATTAAAATAAGTCAACAGGCGAATTACGCGGCCATGTCGTGACGCTAAGTGCGCGAATACTCAACCTGCCCCATTTTCACCATTACATACATACAGGTATATATATATTGACATGCAATTTTCATGTATGACGTCGCCTACATATGTTTGCATTTAAACATATTATTACGTACATTCGTGTGTGTACATCCGTTATTGCAATACATATTTATCGTCAGCAATTATCCGTTACAGGAGTAGCGTCCACTACTTTATTCGGCGCCACAAATGCAAGGCTTAATGAAACAACGATTGTGACTAGTCACCAGGTCAACAGACCGTACCTAGAGACTTTCGTGGAAAATCAACAAACCATTTGTTAGTGTGGGTCACTTTGCGCAAAATTTGTACGATATTAACGGTACATACAAATGCTTTTTCCTTTAGAAGTATTGGGAATCTAGTCAGGAAATGTAACGATTGAAAACAGTACACACACATACGTGTATATGCATATATTGTAGTATGGGTGTGAATAGTTAGTTGAAAGTGGCACATCCAAGATTTCATTTAATAGATTGTTAATGCAATTGCTTCTTGCATGGTTTGCATGGTATTTGGGTCAAATTGTAAAGGAAGCGCCATGGAATATGCTGGCATTTTTACATATGTACATATGTACATACCATATGTGTATGTTGTGAGACCATAGAGACATGGAGGCATGGCTGTTTGATTGCCAATAAACGGAAGGAAATTATTGATTGGTATACAGATATGAATTTCTAATTTTAGACTCACGCACAGCGGACTGTTTTGTGCTTTCAAAGTGGAAAGTGAGAGTAATAATGAAACTTCACTCTGTTGGAGGTTAGACTCTTTAAGAATATAAAAATAAGGTAAGGTCAGAATAGGAAAAGAGCAAGGAAAATCTGATCAGATGATAAAAGCAAACGAATTTCTTGTATGCCATAAAGCATTTGGACGCATCCTAATTTTAGTCCTTATCTATATGGTAGGAGACATCAATTTTAGCGAATCAAGTTAATATTATTGGTTTTTCGAATTGTTAATGATTTTATGATTTTTAATACAGAATCATTGGCGCTTAGAAAATTGTTTGTATTTCGAATGAATTTCTAAAATTTTTTATTTCCTTTCTTAAACTTAGTTTCCAGCTCTCAAGAAAAGAAAACATTTTTGTGGTGTTAAATCTTTTTGAGATAGTATCCAACTCCAATGAAATTCAGATACTTCATTTGCTACTTTTCTTTTTTAAATATTAAATACGGCAAGACAGGAAGCAATATATATATTTATATTTATTTCTAAAGGAAATTGAGTAGAATCTGGAAGTGAGTTTGTATTTTTATTTGCATTTTATATTAAATTATTCAATTAAATATATCTGAAATGGTAGATGGGGAGGGGAGGGGGGTATGTGTTGAAGCGGCAAAAGAGAGTAGGAAACCAGCTTAATAAAAATCTCTGAAATAAATTTCTTGGAATTGAGTTTTAAATAAATTAATTTTTATTAAAGAAAATTAAAATTAAAAAATTGATGTCCTTTCGAAATGCAATGCAATTTTTCATTGTTAATTGAAATTTCATTGGGTGCGAAAGACATCCGCTATCTCCAAAGGCGTGTGTTTTGTGCACCAGTTTTTCTTTGTAGAAACTGAAGAGAAACTCCCGAAAAATAATAAAAAAAAATACTTAATCTGGTTACATTTTAAAAAATTGAAGCAAAAAGAGTCACAAACTTACAAATCACTTACGTTTGAAGAAATTTATTTTTGTTTGTTTACTTTTTCCACGCTTCCACTTTTCTTCTACTGTTTAAAGTTTACGGTGCAATATCACAACTCAAAATTATTTTTTTTACTACTATTTTACGCAAAGAGAAAAAATATACATTTTTTGAGCATTTGCTTGAGAGCTGGAAACTAAGCCTTATCCAAATATTAGTTTATTGACAAAAAGCAACGATTTTTTAAATTTTCGCCAACAAATTCATTTAAGAGCATTAGAATAGTCTCATAATCGCAAACTTCACATAATTTCATCCGAGCATGCCCTTCATGATTGTTCTTTTTTTTAATAACTTATTCCAAAAATCACGGCTGCAACGTAAATTTCTTGATAATCAAAAAATATCAATCGATTTGGTTGAAATGTTTGGTAATGTTATCAGTAAAACAGTTATCAAAAAAGATTTTGTTTCCTTTTTACTCGAAACGAAATGCTGTCGTTAATGTTAAATCGCTAACAGCAAGTGTTTGACGTTAACATTGAAGTATGCTGTTAAGCCAGTTATGGCTGTTGTTTGTGCGGTTAACAATTTTATTTCGTTCCGGTAATCCGCCGCCGAAACGAAGCAAAACCATCTCGGTAAGTTTATTTTTTATCGGAACAAAAGATATATCCGTTTAGAAGTGTCAAAATTCACTGAAGCTCATTCAATGCGGCAAAAAGGCAGTCAAATTTGAAAAGAGAACTTTACATTTGTAAGGGAAGTCGAAAATGCATACCAAAAAGTTTTTGAATTTTTGATATCAAAGAAACTTTTAAATAATAAAGGTGCCGCTTGATTTTATTAGTTTTAAAATTTTTTATTCAAAATTTTTTGTCAATTTTATTATTATTAATTTAAATTAAGTAAGAAAAACTTTAAAAATTTACTTACTTACATTTATTCGTTAATCAAAAAATGTATACCTTTCATTTTCATTCCATTAAAATAATTAACATATCTGAACAAGTAGCTGGACGGGCTATATGATGAAGTTTTCCGATTTTGTTGATTTTTTGTGTCAACATTTATTTGCATGTAATTCCATAAAATCACTCTCAATGCTTTGAACTTGAAAAGCTGGCCAACAAGGGAAATGCTCGAAATTTCTAAGAAAAGATACTTCGTCTTACGGAAGCTTTCAAGAGCGGAGCAAACTCTTGCAGGACCCAGAAGGGTTAGCTCGTGATGGATGCCCAGAGTATACTGAATCTATGGAGGGAACACTTCTCCAGTCTGCTGAATGAATGAACCCGAACCTCTAATTGAGTTCTTCCATTACTCGACTAATCCGAATAGCAATCGCCACCTAAAAACAGCAAAGCGGCGGGGACCGATGGACTACCGGCAGCTCTACCGTGGAATAAGTCTTCTTAATATCGCATACAAGATCCTATCGGTCGTTGTGTAGAAAAAAGTTTAATGCCAAACGTTAATAAACTGATTGGACCTTATCAGTGTGGCTTCAGACCTGGTAAGTCAACCATTGTCCAGACATTCACCACGCGCCTTAACAACCGCGCCATGAGTTCTGCTTTCACCCGACTGGATAAAGAAGCGAAGCGAA